TATTTTTTTTTCCTCGAGGTTCCAGGAGGAGCCTTTCCAGGGCGGTCTCCTTTAAGATCCGGCTGACTCGAGAGGAGGAGTTAGGCGGACGCGAGATGCACAGTCGGGAGCGGAGGGGCGCGAGACGAGCCCGGAGCCGCGGCTGAAGAGGCGGAGAGCGGGAGCGGGCGGCCAGGCAGCCCAGGCCTTGGCGAGCAGCAGCAGGAGGAGGACGAGGGGCGGCGGCGGCAGCAGCAGGAGGAGGAGGAGGAAGAGGAGGAGGAGGAGGGAAGGAAGAGGGGCAACGACGACGCGCGCGCACATATACACACTCACCCAGAGGCAGGCAGAGGCGGCTGCTGGGCAAGCGAGGCGCCTCTCCGGAGCCGCGGCTGGACTGGGACGAGCGATGAGGAGGAGAAAAAGCTGACCCCGCTCCATGCCGCCGCCGCGCATTTTGGAGTGAGAAGGGTCTCTCTCTCTCTCTCTCTCTCGCCTCTCCCTGGCTCGGTTGCCTTCCTCCCTTTCCCTCCCCTCCTGTATAGGTGAACCTGTCTTCAGCTTTTCCTCCTCATCAACATTGGCAGATTTCAAAACAAGAACAACAACAATCCCCCCCACACACCTACACTGATATCTTTAAAACCTTTGGTGCGCGCGCCCTGGTTTTTTTTTTTTGGGGGGGGGGGGTGTCCGGAAGGGAAGAAAAAGCGGGGCGGCGAAGGAGGAGCGGGGGCAGCGCCGAACCCAGAGCGCCAGAGCTTTCCTCCGTCTGCCTTCTCCACGGAAGCACAGTCCACTATGATCCTACCCGCCTTCAGCACTGCAACCCGGGGGGATTTCGTGCATCATTCCAGGGTGTTTTTCTTGCAAGCCTTGCTTTGGATTTTATGCGCTACTACTGGGTGCAGAGGGGAGCAGTATTTCAATGTAGAGGTAAGATCAGGTGTGTGTATATGTGTGTGTGTGTGTGTGTGAGTGGGTGGATTTTGGCTGCTGTTTCTCTCCCCCCCTTACCCCAATGTTAGAGCTAATTCTTTTTGTTTCTTTAAGAATGGGTGGGAGAGAAAAACAGACTGTCCAGCTTCCGAGAGGAGAGCCAGGATGCTTTTGCTTCCTACGTACAGTTCAGAGAGTTTCCTGTCTCCAGCGAAGGTCTCTTTAGCCTGGCGATCCCGTTGTCCCAGGAAAGCCACTGTGTTGAGCGTTGGCAACGTACGATTGTGCCCGGAGGGTCCCCCCCCTCTCTTTTTTTTTGCAAATAGAGAAGGGGTGGCTGGGACGTGCAACTCGCAAAGCGTGCGCGCACCCAGCCACCCACCGACCCACACGCGCACCCACCAAAATAAAACCCGCGGCCGGCTGGACGGAGGCGCACGAGACCGTTTCAAGGGGCTTAAGGGAGATCAGGACTTTATATGGCTAATTCTCCCCCTCTCGCCTTTAAAAGGACAAACCTTCGTGTGTGAGAAAGGAAATCGCTTATTGTTCCTAAGCGGACCAAGGCTGCTTTTGTGTCCTTTTAAAAAAAACCTTCCTGTGAGCTTCTCTACTGGGCTTCCAGAAGTTGGGCTCAAACGGATGCCCCCCCTCCGGGTTAGTGTGTGATTGAATGAGTCAGGAGGTGGAGCAGAACCTGGTTCAAATGTGAACAACATCCGGATAGGATTTGTGCTGGTTTCATCTCTCTCTCTCTCTCTCTCTCTCTCTCTCTTCCCCTCCTCAGTTTTTCCCCCCAAGGTGTGCTTATATTTTTATGTCCCAGCCTGAGATCTTTTAGGTTTAGTGGGTCTTTGCTAGGTCAGGATATGACAACCCACTCTTGTGCATGCCTACTCAGAAGTAAGCCATACTGACTTACATAGGAATGGAGCTTCAATTTATTCCAGTTCACTGCTGTCAGTGACATACTGTCAGGTGTTCACATTTGCCTCACTTTTATTGTGTGTTTGAGTGCATCTGACATCAATTTAGGTGCAAGTGCATATGTATGTGTACAAGTTCATTTCCTCTAGTTTCTCCATGGTATTCCCATGCTTATACACATCTCCCTTTCACCTTTTTGGTACAAAACTTCACAGAGACCACACATCCCTCACAGTTCCCATGTTGCCTGACACTTATTGTGTTTCACTGATTACACACCTCCAGGTCTCCCCTTTCTGATCCCGTTACCACTTTTGAATCTGCTGTCTATCTCTCCACCCCACCCCTACTTGTGTACATCTGTTGTCTTCTCTGACTGTCATTCCTTTGGTTTTAAAGATTTCATAACCTAGGACTGGATGCCCCTTTTTAAAAATTAAAAAAAAATATAACCATACATGATTCCAAATTTTGAACAAAGAATTTCCACCATATTGTCTTGTGTATTACCTGGCTCTGCTAAGGATATGTCATTGTTATGTAGATAAAGCTTCTGCCTGCTTCCTGTTGGCTTTATTTTATCCTTAAAACATTTATGGAGCATCCCATCTTGTCTTCTTCATGTTCAATGGCCTCACCTCACCCCCCTTTCCCCAATTAGCAATTTTTGTCCCCCTCCCAAATAATTACCCCCCCCCCCCCATTCTTTTACATCTAGGCTGAATGCTTGATGGAAAAGGGTCATCCCACGCATTAGTATGAGGAGCCTCTCCACCAACCCCTATCTGCCCCAAATTTTGGCCCAACCCTGATAAGGATCCTTGAAGTTGAACACACTGTGAGGGCCAGTCAGCTGGGCTGGCTCTCCCTTTTGATAGCCTCCTTTATGTCAGTCTTGATTCCTCTTATTCCAGTGAGAAGTGTCAGGGTGAGTGCTGAGGAGAAAAAGCCTCTCAGTAATGCCTTGTCTTGGTAATGCCACCCATTAAAGGCGTAAGAAAGCTGGTCCAACTCTGGAAACATTTCCCTCCCGTCACAGCTAGTTGAGGGGCTAGCAGTCTGCTCTGCAGGAAACTGGCCAGCAGGAGATGGTACTAAAAGGCAGAGGAGGAGAAGAAGATGGTTTTGTCTGTTGGGAATCTGGGAAGAGGCAAGGAGCAGCCAAGAGGGGAAAGGGGAAAAGTCAACTCAAATTTAGCAGTGATGTGTGAAGAAGGCTTATCAGTGAGGAAAAGTGAGAAAAGGGCATTCAGTGTTCTGTTCTTCCAAGCAGCATTTTGTTTAACTGTCACCATCATTATTACTGGTGTTACAATTATTACTCTTCTTGCTGCTAATTTATGATGAGGCATCTCACCACAGTGATACCAGTGCCTATAATGGGGTATGCACATGTGCAGAATGCAGTTCATAGCATGTGTATTTCTTTGTTCTACAGCAGGCTTCCCCCAAACTACTACAAGTCTCTCAACCTGCCATCTGGCTCAGGTTGATGGGAGTTGTAGTCCAAAACATATTGATACTACCTGTGATAGGTAGACCCTGCTGTGTAATGTTTCTGAACCTTTTCAGAATCTTAGAAAGGGTAACCCAGACCTAGGAAGAAATTTTAAATGCTTAGGTGCTGGTGTTAGTGAACTTAATTTCCAGATCACCAGGGATTTTTTTCTTCTGGGTCTTAAAATGATTTTGTTGCTGTCTTAGAGCAAACAGTGGTGTTCTGCTTATCTTCATTTGCCTCCTTGAAATCAGCTACTTCGTTCTGCTGCCAGGTTGAAGGAAAATTAATTTCCATTTATCTTTGAGTATAAGCCTGAGAGCTTTTCAAGTACCATTTGTTGTAAAACGGAGCAGCCGTGGTTACAGTGCTGGGGGAATATGAGGCTAAGGACTTGGCAGCATTCTGGTGACACGGTGCCATGGATTTTTCTGTGTCAGCATCAGGCCCATAAAGCACTGTTGCAGGACAATAAATCACAAAGAAGTCATCCCTACTTGAACGCAACAGATTTTGTTCCAGGAGTAATTTAAATAAGCAGAGAAACTGTGGGGGTTGCTAATACACACCAAGAATCCATTGTCTTGTATTTATGGCTGCTTAACACATCTTGCTGATAATCTGGGAAATACATTCTAATTTCATGGTGATTATTCTTTAACATAGATGGGAATTATTTATTCAAATATTTGTTGACCATTTTTGTCACCTTAACAATACTGAAATAGAAAATGCCAACATGACACCTGTTACAGATGAATGTAAGTCTGGTTTCTGGTAGCCCTCTGTTTTTTTTACAGGCTTACATTATTTTACACAAAGGAATTAAGAACTTTATCTGGTGGGGAAGTACTGTATTATTTTGGTTTCTTTGATTCCATACAACACTGTAGCGGCAGAAAGCACTTAAAAAACTGGACCCTTTGTGTTTGGGCTGAACTCTAGTGTGACGGACTGAGGAGAAGGAGACACCTACATAAGCTCTGATTATTATTATTATTATTTTTGCAACATAACACAGTTGGGTACAATGCTGTAATTCTAATACTGAAACCTAATTATGTATTCAGAATATTTTGGTAGCATGCTATTACGAAATGACCAAAGCTCAAATTTTCTATATCTATGTCTAGGTCTATATGAGCTTCACTATGTTGCTTTGTATATCTTGCTAATGTAATAGACATAGTAATTGATAGACAAGAGCCCTTTAAATACCAGTATTCAGTGACATCTGGTACTTGTTGAGCAAAGTTGAGGGAACAGTACTGAATAATATAGATGTGACAATAGCTACAGTGTACTTTGCCATACTGCTGTACTGTTATCCAGATGAGAAGGCTGTAGAGTAGCCAGTATGAATTATGTTCAGTAGAATCTGTAAGCACTGCAGAAGATCAGAACGGAGTGAGCACAGTTGGCACTGTATTCTCGAAGGCTTTCACGACCGGGATCTGATGGTTGTTGTGGGTTTTCCAGGCTATTTGGCCATGTTCCTAAGGTTTTTCTTCCTAACGTTTCTCCAGTCCCTATGGCCAGCATCTTCAGAGGACAGAGGTCAGAACAGTTAGCACTCTTCGCCTTGATCACAGTCTGGTGTCACAAGCAAGAAACTATTAATCTGTATGCAAACTTCCATGCCCAAAGATGCTGTTTTATGTATTTCAATTCATTAGATTGCTGTGTTCATTTGATTGCATGCACAGATATGTGATGAATGGGATGTCTGTTTTGTGTGGCCAGTAGCTGTATATGTGCCAAACAGTGGAAGCAGGCTCCTGACTGAAGGCCATATAATACAATATCCCTGTTACATAGTGTTAATCTGGGGGTGTAGTGTTGAAAATGGTTGAGTCCTGTCATCTTTTTGTGTTTCATTTGGACATGTTCTCCAATTGGCCTCGAATCTAGCTGAAACAGCAGGAAATCCAGTTTCAAGTGGTAGACTGAGATCTCTGTGGATCACATGCATTTACTGCAAAAAAAGAAAATCACAAGTCCTCCCCTCATCTAAAATGTTATCTGATTGTATCATGAGATGTGGCAAACAGGAACTTATTGGAGAGCTGGAGGAAAAAAAGAGTAGCATTGAAGGCCAAAGACAGTCAGCTTCTTAATTTTGGAGAGGATGATGAAGCAGACTGCTGTGAGCCAGATCATTTTCCAGCAGTGACATAATTGCCTCCTAAAGAGTACTCGGGAGGATGCCAAAAGAGCAGAAGGTTTCATGTCCTTCTATCTAGTTTTCATGAGGATGGAAGTGCCTCATTGTTTTTTACATTAGCACTCAAAGTTAATGGTTCTTAACTATGTAAGAAGTGGGGACAAAACCCCAGGATACTGGTGCACTTTCTTCCTGGCTGATGATGGTCAGAAAAAGAAGGCAAAGCAAACAACATCTTGGTCCAACATTATTCTGTGCTGTTCTGAGTCTCGCTTCCTGGCTGATGATGGTCAGAAAAAGAACGCAAGACAACATCTTGGTCCAACATTATTCTGTGTTATTCTGAGTCTCAGGTGGATATGAGACAAAAGCCTGTCAAGAGGCCGATGCTGCCTTTTGGCCACCAGT